CAGTGCGGCGCTCCCTCAGCACTGACCCTCTGACAGTGCGGCACTCTGTTAGTACTGCATTGGGATTATTAGTTCTGCTGAGATAGCATTGTAGTTGCGGGATCAGGATGTTGTTGTTTCAGGAGACAGTTTCTGACTCTCTGAAGCAGGTCAGCATGTGCCATTTGGCTCCTACTGATGAGGTTCCAATTAGTAAAAGCTGCACGTCTGCTGTGAGTGTGTGGAGCCTGGATCCTGATTGAATTATTATAGTCCTGTATTTTATACAAATACCTCGTATTATCTGCCCGTGCTAATTAAAACCTGTGCATTGGAGAGAATATAAAGACCTTGGGAAACTGAAATCAATCATTTCACTTCACTTCAAATCACTTGAGCAGTTTAATTTTAACTTTTTAATTTAAGAAATATTGTGTAGATGAGTCCTGTCTGATTCAATTTGCTTTGGATTATTTTGACATGTAATACAGCTTACTATTTTAGTCTGGATTTGAAACTTTATTCCAAAGTTTGAATTCTTCTTTCTCAAATCCAACCAGCAGTTTCCTACCTCTGTTCTGTTTGCCTGTATCCTGTCTCTCTCTCTCTCTCTCTCAACTTCAGTTGTGCTCAACCAGCATTTTAAAGTTGAAGATTGCCTGTGAGTGGTTAGGTTATTATCACAGAGAAGGATTATCAGGACAAAACTGTAAACTTGTCAAAGGGACACAAAGGAATCTTTACAGTCTGAATGGAGAAACCGATATTCAGGGGATCCCAATAGAAATGGAAAAACACTTGTTGCAAATTTCCCAAATTTCTGCTCTAACAGCCGTGACCCACATTGTGACAATCAGTTCCACAAAACTGGAGTGCAGGACTGGAGAAGGGTGTGTTTGCTGTTTAACACTGGGGTAGAGTAGTACTGATGAGAACAGGACCACTGGTGCTTAGTCACAGCAGTGTATACCATTTACAAGATGCACTGCAGAAATTCACCAAGACTCCTTAAACAACACCTTCCAAATTCATGATCACAAATAGCAGAAGGACAAGGGCAGCAGATACATGGGAACACCGCCCCCTGCAAGTTCCCCTCCGAGCCACTCATCATCCTGACCTGGAAATATATCGCTATTCCTTCAGCGTCACTGGGTCAAAATCCTGGAATTCCCTCCCTTAGGGCATTGTGGGTCAACCCACAGCAATGGACTGCAGTGGTTCAAGAAAGCAGCTCACCCCCACCTTCTCAAAGGCAACTAGGGACAGGCAGTAAATGTTGGCTCAGCAGTGATGCCCATGTACCGTGAATGAGTATTGGAATAATCTGCTTTCCACCCCAGTCCCTGTGCGCATCAGCCTTCCTGAGCAGACAGTCTGCAAGTTAAGGAATAGGGTTGACACAGGAACCCTCCAATGAGCTCCTTGCGACATACTCCATCTGTTGAATGGCAGGCTATAACCATGGCAATGTGACATTTGTTAAACAGGCTCAGGACAGGCCAGGACCCCTGTGCAGTTAATCTCCACTGCCAGGATCTGCATATGTGGTCTGACACTGACTGTGCTGCACATTATCAGGGAGTGTACCCTCTAGAGAATAAATGGTGCATTAATCACCTGAACTCAAGAAATGAGGAGCCTATCACTTGGCTCCAAGAATTTTAATTAATTAATCAAATAAGTAACTGCAGTAATCTTCTGCTTTGGGTAAGTCTTAGATACAGGATTGGACAAGTTGGTTTAATTTGCAAGGATGAACACAGAATAGCAGGATGTGCTGACCTGAAATTCCTTCCCACCCAGAGTACATTGGGAGAGGTCTAAAAGATGACGCAGGGAGCATTGCCCAGGGAAGGCTGGGAGCTTTCAGCTGTGGCTCAGTTGAGACAGTTTCTGAGCTGTAACGCCATTCCCCAGATCCACTGACTGGAATAATCCCAGTCTGAGCTCAATATTTGTCAGACTTTTCATCAAAATTTTCTGTAGATTGGCAGCTGCCTGTAAAACACTGGTTCCCATCCTCAGAAAAGTACTTTTCTCATTCATTTATGGGTATGGGTGAAGTGGGCTGGGTCAGCATTTATTGCTCATCCTTAGTTGCCCTTCAAACTGAGTGACTGGCTTAGCCATTTCAGAAGATGGTTAACAGTCAGCTTCATTGCTGTGGGTCTGGAGTCTCATGGAGGCCAGACCATGTAAGGATGGCAGCTTCCTTCCCTAAAGGACATTCAAGGACTTTGAGGTCAAGAAAATGGTAATAAATGATGGGCTTTCTTTACTTTTGTAATGTTTTAAACATTAAACATCAAAATATCAAATGTATGAGAAGGATGCACTAGCTGCCGAAAATGTTTACGTATATGTTTGAATTGGCAAGGATTCTGGCAGATTTAATAAATTTAATAATATTTTTAGCACTAACATGGGAAGTAGGTAAAGATTTCTTTGAATGTTTGCTTTCTGTGCACTGTGTATTTGTTTGTTTTTGGCATGGGAACAAACAGCATAAGAACCCATCCAGGTCACCCATGGTCTTATTGTGCCTGGTCAGGACAGGATGTACTAGCATAGAGAGAATGTCACTGCCCTAGTAATCGAAAACCCCAGGATAATGTTCTGGGGACGTCTGTTCATATCTCACCATGGTTCACAGTGAAGCCTGTATACCATAATAATCTGAAATTAAAAGCCAGACTAATGGCAAATCTCACATAAAAAATAATCACCTGGTTCACTACTGTATAAAGGACAGGGACAGAAATCTGTCATCCTTCCTCAGTCTGGCCTACATGTGACTCCAGGCCCACAGTAAGGTGGCTGACTTCCAACTGTCCTCAGGATAATTAAAGATGGGTAACAAATACTGCCACAGTGAACAATATCCAAATCCTGAGAATGAATTAAATAATCTTCCAGTCCCACACTGACATGGTTGACTTTCAGTGACCCTCTGAAGGATCCAATGCACCAGGCTGAGAAAATAAACCAAACTTGACAGCGCTCAGAATAA